TTATATAGCGACATTTGTATAGATGGATGAATATTTTATATTCCAAATATTTTGTGTATTTCTTAATTAAACCTACAGGGAATTCAATCGTATTTTATTCATACTTTCTATGACATATTTTTTACATCCTCATAATGCATTTTTTTATTCATAGCAATGCACTGTTTCTTATTTTGTGTGAATGTGTGCGTGTGTGATATTATTTTTTACTCAGTAGTGTTATTTTTTTAACATTTCTTTCCTAACATGGGCAACAAATACACCAACTTACTCTTTACTTTTCAACACAAATACATCAACTTACTCTTTACTTTACGACACAAATACATCAACTTACTCTTTACTTTACGACACAAATACATCAACTTACTCTTTACTTTACGACACAAATACACCAACTTACTCTTTACTTTTCAACACAAATACATCAACTTACTCTTTACTTTACGACACAAATACGTCAACTTACTCTTTACTTTACGACACAAATACATCAACTTACTCTTTACTTTCAAATACAAATACATCAACTTACTCTTTACTTTTCGACCGTGGTGCTTCTGTTAATTCATCCTCTGAATATACACGATAGTTTTAACTCTTTCTTCCCCCAAAATTATTATTAAAACAAGCATAATGTTAAGTTGTAAAAATATTTTAAGTCAAGTTGTGGTGACTTTTAACATATTAAAAGTTATAAAGTTAAGAAATTTTACTTATTAAAAATGAAAGACTAAATAAACATTTTTTTCAAGTATTTCTAAACGTACTATATTCAAGGTAAACAAACTGAAATATTAATAATTTTCATCTTTAAGTTGCAAGATTTCAGACAAATTAGCTAATTTTGTTTCAAGGCATGTAGGTGTACATTATTAATGTTCAACCGGTAGAAACAATATTTTTGCCCCCCCCCCCCCAGTGGCACAGCGGTATGTCTGTGAACTTACAACGCTAGAATCCGTGTTTCGATACCCGTGGTGGGTAGAGCGCAGATAGCCCATTGTGTAACTTTGTGCTTAATTGCAAATAAACAATATTTTTAACCGAAGTTTTAAAAACCTATGTTATCATATTCAACTTAACTAATTTTAGTGAAGGCGTAACTGAGAAATGAACATTTTCTAAAGATATTACTTTGCAATTATTACAATAGAATATTCATCTTTTAATAGTTTTACGAGCTTAATGAGAAAATAGTATCACATATATATATATATTATTTATGGTAAAGTTTCTGAGGCTATCTGCTGTTGTCCCTAATGTTGAAATATTGATCAAAATGGAAGAGAGCCAGTCATCAGCACCCTAACATTCACCATCGAAGCTGAGGGATTGACTATAATTCTTATAACGCAACCACAGCTTAAAATGCGGAGATTGTTTTTGTATTTGTTAAATTAATTCTATAAGATATACAAGTGGCATTGACGAAAACTACTTAACCGTTATTAAATTTCATATAAACAATTTAGAAGTCCGTACGGCTATTCGAAAACCTGAGTACTCCGCGTCTCTTTTTTACCACCCGAGTATTAATTATTAATTTGAGAATTTGAAAAAAATTTCAAAGTAATAAAAAACGTAGCTGTAAGTCTTAGTCTGCAACCGGCATAATAAAGACGAGGTTGAAATAGATTTTACAGTAGTACTGAAGCTTCTTAACTGACAGGATATTAAAATACACAGTAGTGAGTTAACCACAATAATAATGGAGGCGACCAGTCTTCTTCACAGGCAGTAAATTTTAAAGAAAACCAAAATTCACAGTGACAAACAACCCACAACAATAACAGAGGTGACAACTTTTCTTCATGGGAAGTAAATTTTAAAGAAAACCCAAATTCACAGTGACAAACAACCCACAACAATAACAGAGGTGACAACTTTTCTTCACGGGAAGTAAATTTTAAAGAAAACCAAAATTCACAGTGACAAACAACCCACAACAATAACAGAGGTGACAACTTTTCTTCAGGGGAAGTACATTTTAAAGAAAACCCAAATTCACAGTGACAAACAACCCACAACAATAACAGAGGTGACAACTTTTCTTCACGGGAAGTATATTTTAAAAAACGAAATAATAACACACAGTGGAAAGTGCCCTAAAACAATAATAGATACCACTATTCTTATTCACAGGAAGTAAATTTTAAAGAAAACAATAATACACGGTGGAAGGTGTCCTAAAACAATAATAGATACCACTATTCTTATTCACAGGAAGTAAATTTTAAAGAAAACAATAATACACGGTGGAAGGTGTCCTAAAACAATAATAGATACCACTATTCTTATTCACAGGAAGGAAATTTTAAAGAAAACAATAATACACGGTAGAAAGTGTCCTACAAGAATAATAGAGAGAAGTACTCTTCTTCTGAGGAAGGAAAGCAGAAAGAAACAGCATAATTTCCTGATGGGTTTTTTAGTGCTTAGTATCTTTTTCATTACTAATACACTTGCGCCACCAATATGGAAGCTTTTAGTAAAAATGTGTTATAATATATATATATACTGTACTACACACAAAATTGAACTATGTATCATGCACATAACAGATTAATATTTGTGAACAATTTAATACAAGTATTAATTTCATTATTGTTATTATACAAACAATACCCTGGTTCTCAGAAGGTTATTAGAACGAGTACCTGGTTCAAGATTTTCTACCCTTGTCGACCTTTACTTAAAATTATATATATATGATGCTATATATGGCTATATTTAGAACATACATTATTTATTGCTTTACGCTTTTAACGGAATGTGTGGCTATTCTATACAATTTAATTTGAAGTCTTGCTCTGCATCAGAAACCTGCAAACAGACAGTTTAATATTTAGGTTGATATTATTCACCACAGTTAAAGTATACTGAGATTCAGTGAAACACTTTTGTTGATTCCATGAAAAATAACTTTTGTCAGAATTTACCAGACTGAAGAAGGACCATAAGCTGCACAAGTGGTATAGAAACACAAACATAAAAGTTACTTTAAATATTTTTAACTGCGGCTGAGCAGTTCATGGAACGGCTCCGAGTTGGGTTTTTTCAAGCACAAAATTTTAGCACATAGCTCCGTCACCTCTTGACCGATATGAGATCTAATTACAGTTTTGGATTCAGGAGGTCAAACTCTCTCGATTGTTATATTTGACAATGCCCAAGATCTCATAGATTTATTTATTCTAATTCTGCCAAAAAGAATTTCAATTTGAGGGTGGGTTGGTAGAGATCCTGATGAACAATAAAATCGAATCGGATATTTGCGTGCCCCACGCATGGTATCGCTGGGGAACAAAAAAAGGAAACAAAAGTCTCGTAGATTAATTTATTCTAATCCTGCCTAAAATAATTTCAAGTTCCGCGGCTATTGAGGATTCCTTCTTGTTTATTTTTTGCTGAATATATGCTAAAACTAAAAGTTACGAAACTTGGATCTACTGTCTAAATTATATATATATATTAGAAAATGATACAACCAAAATGATTATTATTTGGCGAAAGTTACACTAAAAACACTGTCATAAAATCAGAATACTTGATTTCGTAGTATACTTTGTGAACTAAAAAAATAAACAGCTGGTCAAAATATAGTGAAACTGTATTTTATCTTTGTATTCAACAAAACTGCTCCAGTGTGTCACCGCTGCTGGCGCTGTTTCCTGATTACCAGTCACAATACCGCCCGTAGAAGGGTGCAACTCTAGCCGTTGCCATGACTACAATCACATACACTGACATTTCTGAGGCTGCAGTGGGCAGCTCCCAGAAGAACGTTTAATTACTTCAGTGGTACAAACTCCTATGCATGCTATATGTTCTCTTCGTGTGCTTTCTGGTTTCGTGCGTTTGGCTTTGTTGCATATAGCATTGTTGCTGGTTTACTCGGCAATGAGCCAAGTATTAAAAAAATGAAAGAATGGCAAAAAACAACTTTGTTTTTATGTTTTTGAGAGCTATGAAAACACAGTATAGACAAATTAGTTCTATGGAAATTGATATATACTAGACCATATATTAAATAGTATACAATATTATCAGAGAATAGAGATGGTAAGACAAGTGAAATGTTAATAGTTTTTGTTTCATACATTGTACGTCTAATAAAGTTAATATGGACATAGAGGTGTTTGTAAGACACCTTGATATAACTAATAATGAAAAAAATACGCATCAAAATATTTTTTTAACACAAGTAACCGGGCGATTAGTAACAATATTGTGGTGACTGCAAAAAATGCTTTTAACAGAACATTAGAGAAATACACCATATTCTTTATAACGTAGGTGTTACATGGACTTAACACAAACGGCATGAATAGAATATCACGGCAATAGAACAGTGATTCTGAAACTTTTTTGTTCGCGGCCCACCAGTGGTGTGAAGATCCCACTTTGAGAACCACTGCAGTAGAAAATGATATGTATATAAAGAAAATTTCACCAATCAAGTGTTGTTATTGGACCCTGTCCTCAACAACTCATTAAAGATGATGGAAAAGAAATGTAGGCATTTTGGATAAAACAGATCACAAAGTTGTTCAGTAATCTCTATTCTTTTAGGTTAAAAAATCGGATCGAAAATAATAGTGTTATCTCTTGGCGTGAATATGAGAGTGATAATTCTCAGAAGTAAATTATGTTTTGAACAGCTCTCTGAATGACGTCTCTAGTTTCACGTGTAGTTTACAGCTCTACTGATCTGTTACCGCTATCTATTACTTTGTACTGAATGGTGAACTTTGTACCCCCCCCCCTCCCATATACTGTAGGTATTGGAAATTCGTCTGCTCGACACCAGTTTTGATGTAAGTGGAAAACTTAGGTTTTCGTGAACATTTCAAACTAACAAACAAGAAGGTTTGTCGAAGTATTTATTAACCAAGTAAATATACAGTAAGACCTCATTTTATTAAAATCATCTAACAACCAGAGTAAACAGTGTTTCGTTCGAACACAAAAGCAGACGAACAAAAACTTACCCTTGGACGCCTGCGTCAGAGAAGCTGCGTGGAACACCATGCGCTGTGTATACAGTGGAAAGATGGCGACCGTGAATTAAGGTAATGCGTCTCTGTCCATTCGCAGCCCTTAATTCCGTGTGAAAATAAAAACCAATCAGCAACAGCTAGGAAACCACCCTATCAGGTGAAACTGGTCAATGAACTGATCCTTACATTGGGCTGGCCCTACAATGGAGAACCTAGCCGAGTTGGACGGTAACGAGTCGACAGAACCCGTAGAGCCGGAGACTGTAACCGAACCGACTGAATTGTTGACTGCTCACCCTTCAGACGGCGACGACGAAGCAGTAAGTTCTAACATGTTGGACTCGACCGATTTTCGGTCTCTTAGCGAGTCCCCCTATCCTACCCTAGGTGGACGAATGTCTCCAGGTTTCTCTGCCGGCAGCAGCTACGCTACACTGACTCCACTTCAGCCATTACCACCAATTTCTACTATGTCCGACAAGTTTAATCACTACGGTCATGCGGGCGGCAACTTCACTCTAATGCAAGGAATGACTATGAGTAGCTATCAGTACGATAAGTTAACTGGTATAACCATTATGAACATCAGCCCCACACTGGGGGCAGCGCACCCCTCACCCGTAGCTATGATGAACACTAACGGGTTCGGCCCTCTGGCTACCCACGTCAGTATTCCATCCCCAACTTACCAAGAGAATGGCAGAGAATCCCCTGAGAAGGGGATGTCCAACAATGGATACGATACTTACAGCCTGCGAGATCAGACCCGGAATTTGGAATCTCCTCAAAGTCCCCCGGTCAGTTTGCACTCCTCTACAAGATTAATGCCTACTTTAAACGGCTTAAATGCTCCCGAGACTCCCCCATCAGTCCAGCTGACGGCCCCGGTGACTCCACCTGAGCAGGAAGACACAAAACCAGTGACAATAGCAACCTTAACCACTTCACCAAGTGGAGGGCTGACCTTCTCACAACCTCTTGTGGCCGTTGCTACTGTAAACTTGACCAATGGCGAAGAAAGTATTGCAACGTCAATTCCCATTAAAACGTCGGAAGCCCCCGCGACATCTCTCTCTAAGACCTCTACGGAGGAAGATGTAGAAGAGATTAACACCAAAGAAGTAGCCCAGAGAATAAGTGCCGAACTCAAACGCTACAGTATCCCGCAGGCCATCTTCGCTCAACGTGTACTGTGTCGGTCACAAGGAACCCTTTCTGATCTTTTGCGTAACCCTAAACCTTGGAGCAAATTGAAGTCCGGCAGGGAAACTTTCCGAAGAATGTATAAATGGTTGAAAGAACCGGAGTTTCATAGAATGTCGGCTCTTAGACTAGCAGGTTTGTTTGTTTATTTACTATCCTTTGCTGTTTTTTAAATCTTAAAATTTCAAGTTCTAGGATGTATATTTAAGATGTTCAACATCAACTCAGTTTCACATGCCTTCAAAAATCAAATGATAAATTATAAAACTAATTATCTGAGTAACACACACACACACACACATATACATACATATATATATATATATATACATATATACGTTATTCAGTCTTCATTTCTGAAGGTTAGTGCCTGAAAAGTTTAAACAATACATCATATATATATGTATATGGTTGATTGATAATAAGCAATAGTTTTCTGCCCTTGTAAGTAAACCATGCTTTTATTGGCACATGGTTTAACAGATTCTTGCGCCTGTAAATCATGTTTCTCTATTAAGCAGCTTTATATGACAAAAAAGTCATTCACTTTACGTTTTAAATGTAGGGGTTTGATAAGCCCCTTCTTTTTTTTTCTTTTACTACGCTATGCATGTAAATATTAGTTAGTAGACACCAATATTCACGGCAATGTGCCAATATTTTAGAGATTTATATAAATTATAGGTTATTACGAGTACAGTAATGTCTTAGCTATACCATCAATACAATTCATAAGTATCTAATCTATGCTTTTTGTTCAAGATATCTCTTATGATGAGGGGGAAATGTACTTTATTCATGTTTTAAGAATGAAGTTACTGTTAAGTGTAATAATATATAAGCGTATTGTAGTGAAAGAAAGGGTAAAATGCTAATCACCATGTAAAAAAGTAGTTGTGGAATCCGTTTTAACTCAGGTAATTTTAATGAGCAAACAGGAAAACATTACTTGTTTTTTGAAATATCTACGTTTGAAGTATAACAAACATAATTTCCACAGAACAGGCTCTCTCTCTATATATATATATGTAGACCATCAGGGGCGAACATAATGATAAAAAAAAATAACTTCACGGGTTATTGTGGATATCAATTATGTTTCTAAGCCTAACAAAGACTAAACTGATTAATTTTAAGATATAACTGAAAGATTTGATTATATCGGTCTTTCATTGAATATTTCTGTTGCTTTAAACTTTAATATGCAAATCTGTATAATGAATCTGTGTATTAATTGGATTGTGTTTATATTTATGTATTCATTAACAAAGTTTCTTTAGTTTGCTATGGAAACATATTATTAACGTATTTATGTCTTTATTACATTTTCAGTGTTTACCTTTTAGTTTTCGTGTTCTTTACAGATTATACGTCACTCATTTTGGTTTACACATATTTCCAGATGTAATCTTACTTAGTATTTTAAAAGTAATTTCTAAATATTCCTTACTTATATGTGTTTCTACTTCCCACTTTTCAGATATAATTTAAAATCATTTGAACAAAGTTTCTCATTCTAGCCTCAACAAATCCAACAGAACCTACAATATGGCTTCATATTGCAATAAATGTAACTATCTCTATTCACCTCTTCATTCTTGACATACGTCAAATACATTACTGAAAACTGTGTTAATAATTTTCACATTTTATACTAAGTCGTTTATATGTTTAGCCAAGACATGTCTCAAATGCATCAGTCAGTAATGGATTTATAATATTCATATATCAAACTGTGTCATTGTTTATATATTTGTCTAAGACATGCCTTAAATACAGCACCAGTAATGTGTTTGTAATGTGTGTCAGTTACAAGTTCTTTCTTGACATGCTCCAAATACATCATTCAATGACGTTTCTGTGTAGTTCATATATTAAACTGTCATTGTTTACAAGTTCGTCCTATGCTAGTTCCAAGTGTATCCAGTGACTGTCCTAATGATTATCACGTATCAAAATCTGCCAGTTACATGTCTAATATATTATCATATGTGTTTTCATACTTTCCATAAGTTGAACTGCCACCAATTACACGTTCATCGTTGAAATGTTCCAAATATATCATTCGATAATATGTGATAATTTTTACAGATTAAAAACTCTCAATTACTGAAAATTATATTGGTGTTTGTATTTACACGATTATCCTTGATATTATCCAAATACATTACTGAAGACTGTATTTGGGTTTGTATTTACTCTATTTGTAATTTACACTTGTTAAACAGTAACTCTAATGTCATGTTCACCCTTGACATGCTCTGAGTATATAACATTCTGTAATGCTTTGATAACTTTCTGGGTTAAACCGTGTTTATATTTATAGGCTCAACCATGGCATGCCCAATACGCTACTGAGAAATGTACTTATTCATACTTTTCACGTACGAAACGGTGTCCCTATTTACGAGTACATTTTTGACATGCCACTAATATTTCATTAATTAATATTTCTGAGAGAAATAAAATATTTATTCATGAGTTTTCGACTTAAAAGCTTCTTTTTAATATGATGTGAACTAATACAACATTTACAGCGACAATAATTCACAGTGTTCCCAGTGGTTGCATGGTTATATACTTAAATATTTCGTCAATGCATGTAACAAAACCTTGCTGATAAATAGATACTGTCCATATCCTTGTAGCAGAAGTCTTACTTATCTTAACTGTACTTATATTTACACATATAACTTTATTGCTATCTGTTACCTGGTATCTATTCAGTTCTCTGGTAACATTTGTATTTATGTATTCACGATTTTTTTGTCTTTCCACTGAAATTTCAATGTTTTTGTATTCAAACTTGTATGGTCTAGTGTTTCCTTTGTTTTTAGTATAGCTTTAAAAAGTTACTTTGAATTCTCACCGACAACTATATAGATCTCATTTTCATGTGACTTGGAGAAAGATTCATTCTTCTCGTGTAGGTTTTAGTTTTGTTACTCCAAACAATGTATTTTGGTGAAAATTTTTATTTTATTTTGCCCAACAATGACTTTTTTTTCTTTTGATGATGATTTTGAGATAAGTAGAGAATCCACTGTTATAAATATTACACGCATTGTTAAAGAACTATTCTCTTTTTTCTTTGTTTTTTCAACAATAATTTTTCTGATAATGTGTTACCGTTTTGAAAACGTATAATATTATTGCTCTGTGTTGTAAATTGAGTAACATTACATTTAAACACGAATCCTGTTTCATAACATTATGTTTTTTTATACCACTGTATTATTATTATGCTTACAGAAAAATAATTTACTAAATAAGCTAAATAAATATTTTGTTTTGTTTTAATCATTTTTAAATATTAGCAATAATTTTTGTCTTACATTATACATATGTATAGCCAGATTTTAATTTTTGTGTAGTATGCTTTTCATTTATAATTGCAATGCTTCGTAATGACTTCAATATGTATCTAATTACAATATATCGATCCTTTCTCTCTTTAATAATGAGCAATTTGTATGAAATCTACAAGTTTTCTTTTTGTTTCAACTTAAATATTGATGGAAGATATTTTCTCTACTTACAGTTCTGAGTAATGACTAAACGGCGTGCATTGACCGTAGCAGTGTCTAAAACGATAAATGCCTTCCCTCTATTTTCTGAGAGCGTCGAGAGATTTATTTATTTATTTTTTTATTAATGTTACTCTTCAAAAAATATTTGCGTTTCATTCAAGTAACGTACATGTAGAACTGTACGTTTAATTATGTGTTTTTTTCTGTCCTCGAGTAAAGAAAGTTATTAAAATTGAGCGTTTTCGAGCTTTCCGATGCATGTATGCGAGAAGAATTTAATTTAAAAACGAAGTATAGAGTTTGTGAACAGTTCGGCATATGTACAAAGTCTAAAGCGAGCACGTAGAACGGTGTGCGCATGCGCACCAGCGGAGATGGTTGGAGCAACCAATCGTGCGTGAGTTTTACAGTGTAGCCAGCAGTAGCAGTTGCTATGGCAACATAAGATTAGCAAGCACTTGGTTACACGAGCATTGCACAGCTTGTTTCTGCTGAATGCTGTAAGCGCTTTATTGTGAAACACGTTTTCTCAAGAATACTGTAATGCCATTACGATACAAACTACAGAATGTAAACCATCTCTTTTCATGTAATTAATGAAGTTTTGTGATAACCCAGTTTATTAGTTTTGCTTTATAAAATAAAAAGCTGTATACGAAAAGAAAACTTGAATGATAACTTGCTAAAAATGTTTTTGTTTTACTTCGGTTTTTATTCCTATAATACACGTCTGTGTTTAAAGACTAAAAGCTTTAAAAATGAGAACTGTAAGTAATTTGTTACATTCCTAAAGAAATTTGGGTGATGAAAAATGCGTTTAAATCCAACAAAGAAAACGTGGTAATTCTTCACAGCTGTTTCATTTTTTTCCTTTGTCAACTATGGATTTAGTAAGGAAAGGCAGTACTTAAGTTAGAAATTACCATTTCAACCTCTCAGTTTATGTATCTCGAAAGATTTTAAATCTTATATTTGTTGCCCATTTCTGTTAATAACAATGAAAATTACACGCAGTCTAAGTTTATTATTATTTAATACTTATATCTGATTTACTCATTTTTATCCTGACATCTCTTGCTAGAAATCGAATTATAATTTTCCAAGTAAAAAAAGTGTTAGAGTTTATTTGTGACGTTTCTTAGGTGAACCGATATTATTTGCAACTGAAATTGACTAGATACAGTATTTGGAGCAGCGTCAATAAACTTTTTTTTAACCCCTAAAACGCAAAGTCCTAAAATCCAGCATTACAGTAAAGGATATTAAAAAAGGGTATTTGTCGCTAAACCTTCATCCGGTTCACATAGCAAAGTAAAGAAAACTAAAAACAACGTTGATTAGAAATATCAAATAAGGAAAGTAAAATAGAGTAATTTTTAGAGTTAACTCCATAAAAAAAATGAAGCTTTCGATTAGTCTTGTGTAGAGAAATTCTTGCAGATATTTAGAAATATTTTGTTGCTTTTCTGATCTGATAACGGGCTTAACTTTAATTGAAATCATATAAATGATAAAGAATAAAGCTTTTCTCGTATTTCTCTATGTAGACAGAAAGTTTGCTGTGCTCAAATGAACTCGGAACTAGCCATATAAAATCACTACTTA